TGTAAGCAGAATCCGCAAGTGTAAGCGGACTCCGCAAACTGTAAGTGGGTTCCGATTTTCGTTTTTTACTTAACTTACATATGATTTAAAAAAAACTTCGTTTTATTGTTTTACATTTGTTTTTTCATGTTAATATTGCTCCACAGACCTTAAATGGCTGAAGGAAAATTCAGGGCTTTGCCTTGATAGAAGCAGCCAGTCTTGTTACATACATAGATTCAAAAATTTTCAGACTTCTCGAAGCTTTTCCGAAATAAGTTTTTTTTTTCATTTTTCAGATTTAGTTACTGAATCTTCAGTTTAATGCGAGATTGTGCAGTTTGTCGCTGGACTTTGCACTCAGTTTTTCTCTAACTTCTGCGATTTGTTTTGAACATGCGTAGAAGTTTTTGAACATGAAATGTGCAAAAAAAACAGGGCAAAGCATGTCTAGAATAACTAGTTAAGAAGACTAGTTTTCTAGTTAATAATGACTAGAAACCAAATTTACGGTCTAATCTTTGACGGCTTGATTCTATCAGTTTTTGACTGCAAATTTTAAATTAAATATTTGAAGAATCAGTTGCAATTATTTTGAGCTCAGGGGACAATGCATGTAAAATTTAATTTGCTTCCATTTATGCAAGCACTTGTAGCAAAATTTTGAACTACATTTTTTTCGGTAAATTTACCTTGATGCACTACTAAATCATCCTAAAAACAAGATTTTGTGATCCGTTTTTTAGCTGATCAATTTGGCCTCATAATAAAACTCTAAGCGTTGGAAAAAAATTGTTGTTTGCCGGCATATTTGTGGATTCTGGCAAGCGAATATAACTAGTTGTTCTGGATTCCACAAAATGTAAGCGCAATCCGCTTAATTTGTAAGCAGAATCCGCAAGTGTAAGCGGACTCCGCAAACTGTAAGTGGGTTCCGATTTTTGTTTTTTACTTAACTTACATATGATTTAAAAAAAACTTCGTTTTATTGTTTTACATTTGTTTTTTCATGTTATTATTGCTCCACAGACCTTAAAAGGCTGAAGGAAAATTCAGGGCTTTGCCTTGATAGAAGCAGCCAGTCTTGTTACATACATAGATTCAAAAAATTTCAGACTTCTCGAAGCTTTTCCGAAATAAGTTTTTTTTTTCATTTTTCAGATTTAGTTACTGAATCTTCAGTTTAATGCGGGATTGTGCAGTTTGTCGCTGGACTTTGCACTCAGTTTTTCTCTAACTTCTGCGATTTGTTTTGAACATGCGTAGAAGTTTTTGAACATGGAATGTGCAAAAAAAACAGGGCAAAGCATGTCTAGAATAACTAGTTAAGAAGACTAGTTTTCTAGTTAATAATGACTAGAAACCAAATTTACGGTCTAATCTTTGACGGCTTGATTCTATCAGTTTTTGACTGCAAATTTTAAATTAAATATTTGAAGAATCAGTTGCAATTATTTTGAGCTCAGTGGACAATGCATGTAAAATTTAATTTGCTTCCATTTATGCAAGCACTTGTAGCAAAATTTTGAACTACATTTTTTTCGGTAAATTTACCTTGATGCACTACTAAATCATCCTAAGAACAAGATTTTGTGATAAGTTTTTTTTTCATTTTTCAGATTTAGTTACTGAATCTTCAGTTTAATGCGGGATTGTGCAGTTTGTCGCTGGACTTTGCACTCAGTTTTTCTCTAACTTCTGCGATTTGTTTTGAACATGCGTAGAAGTTTTTGAACATGGAATGTGCAAAAAAAACAGGGCAAAGCATGTCTAGAATAACTAGTTAAGAAGACTAGTTTTCTAGTTAATAATGACTAGAAACCAAATTTACGGTCTAATCTTTGACGGCTTGATTCTATCAGTTTTTGACTGCAAATTTTAAATTAAATATTTGAAGAATCAGTTGCAATTATTTTGAGCTCAGTGGACAATGCATGTAAAATTTAATTTGCTTCCATTTATGCAAGCACTTGTAGCAAAATTTTGAACTACATTTTTTTCGGTAAATTTACCTTGATGCACTACTAAATCATCCTAAGAACAAGATTTTGTGATCCGTTTTTTAGCTGATCAATTTGGCCTCATAATAAAACTCTAAGCGTTGGAAAAAAATTGTTGTTTGAAGGCAGATTTTAAAAGTCTTTTTAGGCCAATGTTTCGATTTTTAGTTTAATTGAAGCAAATTGAAAAAAAAATAGTTTTCAGCTTTTTTATTATCCTATTCAACAGTAACTGTAGTCAAACAAAGCTCGTGTAAAGTTCTAGGAAACACTGTTTTTATCTGCTTGAACCACACGCAAAACGCGGCTCAAATTGGAAGAAAAAATTTTAAAAAGAAAATTGGTTCAAAAATGTGGTGGAACTTTGTGCATCTTGCAGCAGGCGGCGTTTTTGTAAAAAATTGTGTTTGTTTTTACTGATTGCAACATAAATTTTTAGTTAATTTTTTTTTATCATATTCAGGTCAGTGACCCGGCCTTCGGATTGCGTGACACCTCTTCTGCACGAAGACTACGATGACCAGACTCGATCCAGTAATGGTGAAATAGGAGGAAGAGTGGCTGGAGTTCAGACTGAAGACCCCAGAGAACACGATATCAGCTTATCAGCTTCGGATCTGACGGGAACAAGTCGTTAGTTGTTAAAACTATTATAAGAATTGATAGAATGATGCTAGGCTAAGATTCTAGAGTGGGCTAAAATAGTGGGAAGGCCCACTATTTTTAACGCTGCACTAGTCATAGACTAGACCCATCAAAAAATCTCTTTTTTTTCATGTGGGGTGGGGGGTGATGGTGGGGGGGGGGGGGTGGGTGCGGAGTGATGAAATTCCTGCGCATGCTTCCAGCTATTTTAGCTGTAAAATATAAGACTGAAAGGGAAGATTTAATTGATAATCATACATTCTCTACACTAATCAACTGTAATAATTAGAATTGCATGTTGATGAGCATTGAAATTTTTTATATATATTCTGAATTCTGATCCTCAAGAGCAATTCAGTTGCTGGCAATTTTGGGATTGTTAAGTCAGTTTCTTGCATTTTTTTCCTTGAAACTAATGAGCTAATGAACGCCTCACTAAAATTTAAATTTCTGGAAAGAGTTGAAAAGAGATAAACTTCTGAACAATTTCAGCGCTCATTCAGTAGCATACTTCAATTGAAACTAGTTTGCATTTTGAATAGATGATAGTTCTTCTTTCTTGAGTTATAGTAATTAAAAAACGGTGTTTTAGGAGATCTTCGACAAACAACAACTCTGGAAAACTATCCTCAATTGTCAACAGCAAAGAAGGCAGCTCAATCAACCCAAATGTCACAGCTATGCACTCTATAACCGACGGGGAATACTCACACGACAAGCAAATTTCACCTTCGCCTTCGCCTTTTGCTAGTGAGTTATCTGAACATAACAACTTACGCGACAGCGGAATAATGCCTCACTTGCCTTCAAACGTACCCGTAGTTACATCATACGACCCTTCGGCTAACAGAACCGACCGAGACAGTATGCAGAATGAAAACATACGAGATAGTGCAATCATGCCTCAGTTACCTTCTAACGTGCCGATGGTTAATTCGTTCGACACCTCAATTGGCCGAGTAGGACGCGATAGTTACAGGACAACAGGTCGCGAGAGTTTACAAATGTCGAGAAATGCAGTTATGGCCCAGAACTCGGTCGTCGGGGAAATAGAAGAAATCGGCGAGTCGCAAAATGGAGAGAGCATGGCGACTAACGTTTCAAAGTCAAAAGAAGCCGCGGGATCAAACGTAACCCTAGCGCCTTCGAAAGATTTCCAAACTTCCGAAGCTCTTCTAAACGCAAGTCTAATCAGCAAAGGTGGTCGTTCCGTTGTTAGCTCTAATCAAGTTACTCCAAATTTGACAAAAACGAGCTCAAACCAAGCCGCCGCCGCGACTTCAAAGCCTAATATGGGTTCGGGTTCCAGTGGTCACGAAGCCGACGACAAATTCTCCGAACGAAGAAATGATAAGCTTTCTGAATTTTCTGTAGATTCAAACCGTAACTGGACGCCGAAGTTCTCGATTGACGAACGAGAGCCGAACGTAGTCGGGGCAAAAGGTACTGCTTATCTTTCTCAGAGGGCGCAGCCAACCCGAGACGAAAGCCGAGGTCGCGGTAAGCGAAAAGAGTCGGCTGCACGACAAAGTACAACTTTTACAACTGTCATGGGAAATGTGGAAGGACGCGAAGTCTCAGAGCCGGTATCCATCGCCATGATCATGGAACCAGACTTAGCTCAAGACCAGCAATTAGCCCCGGTTATGTCCCTCGAATTAGACAAAAGCAGTCCTGTTGAAGCGAATATTGTTCACACAATATCACCTATTCCATCATCATCTTCGGCTATAAAGCTTGATGACAAAAAGATCAGTTTGCCTGCTGATAATTCCAAAAAAGATGATGTTCCGACAAAAAACAACTTAAATACAGGGCCGAGTACAAGTTTAGGCAATCCACAGCACTTTTCGCTCCAAACTGGTTCAAGTGCGGATCAAAGTTTGGGCGCCGATAATTTGAAAGAAGATTCAAATGTTTCAAAACCAAAAAAACTCAGGAAAAAAGGCACAAAAAATTACCATCGAGGTTCTAAAACATGGACAAGCGACGGAAGTTCTGACACGCCACAAACACAACATACAGATGACAGTGATTGTCACTTAGTCGGGAGTGATCAAGTTTTGGGTTCCGACTTTTCGTGTGCGGCTACCAACGAGACCCCCATTGAACCCTCGACTGCTAATCGAACAGGCGACTTTTGCTCACCCAAGTACCACGACAACCTTCCTGCGTTTTCATTCGCGACCGACATCAATAATGATATGAGGAATATTCATAACTTGGACACGGAGTTTTCAAGGTCAGTTGAGGTTTATCAGGAGCATAATGGAATGGGACCCCTGCATGATATGATGAACTCGAGTCAGTTCCGAATGGGCGTTGCGATCACGTGCGCTGTAACTGGTGCTGTTATACTGTACTGTCTTATAGTGAGAAGAAGAGAAAGATGAAAATATTAAAACAATTCAAGTTTTGCTTCGAGGATATTTGTTGTTCAGCTATGACACCGACAGAGAAATTTTTTGAAGATGTGAACAAAAACTTGCAGGAAAATAACATTTGAAAAGTTGGAACGTTTTTTTAGAATTTAATATTAATGCCAGCTGCAAATGATAACTACAGTTGTTGTAGCAAATGTGCATGTTAATTTTCCTCAACTACAGGGAGCACTTTTCTTGCTTTCTTTAGAGTCAGTTTCTTGTCGGGTTTCTGAAACTCCTCCATGAAATCTTCTTTCGTCCATTCAAATTCTTCTTTTTCTCGTTTAGTTTCGTTGTGCTTCATCTGGAGTTTTAGAATGTGGTAGTTGAAGTTGATATTCATTCTGTTGCAGAGATCTTTGTCAATAATGAACTCGTCGCTAAACGGCGTCGCCGAAATCTTCACAGGTTTATTTAGACCTAGAGGAAAAGGTTTTGAATTTAGTTTTGAAACAAAACAAAAGACCGGAAACAAAATGGGCTACTTTTTTTTTAAGATTGAACGGGTTCAAAACTGATTTCGGAAACGCAATGGTTTGCAATTCTCTAGTTGTTTTGCTTTTTCGAAAACGATCTGCTCAAGAACGTCTTTGATAAATCTAACCTGTTAATAATTTGGAAAATTAATCATCAAACTGCGAGATCTTTCTTGTTTTTTCAAGGTTTTTCAGAAGTATTAAAATTAGCTTTTCCCGAAAAAAAAAGAAAAAACTTATCAAATTTAACCTATCTCAATATCTCAAATCAATTTTGTCAACACTGCTCTTACCTTTCGGCTTTTTGCAGTAGTTCAGCACTATCTCTCGAATCCTCTTATACGTTTTCACTTCTTCGTAAAAATAAGACTGCACTGCGACTCGTTTCCAGAAAACTTTCAGAAGAGTCTCGTAGAACACATAATCTTCTGAGCTCCATTTTCTGTACAGCTTTTCACGTTGTTTTTGCATATCTTCACTCGATTTATCAAGCACTAAGTTTTTATATTGCGACTTGTTTTTCGACATGAACAAAACATCACGCATTGTCCAGCAAAGTTTTCTCTTCAACAAAATCAGACTTTCATCCAAAAAATCAGCAACCAAAATAAGAGAGAACTTTTTTCTAATGAACTGAATAAAATCTTCGAGTGGTTTCTTCATCTCTTTTGTGTATCCAAAGTCCAAAAGCATTGGGTTTTGAAACATAATGTTTTGAGGCGCAAAATACTCGTAATACACTTGCGGATTTTGAAGAAAATCGTCAAAAACTGTTTCGTTTTTAGAGTGGAAGTCTTTTACAATTCTTGTTCCGATACGGAAATAATTAAACACAGATATAAATTGATCAAGCGGGTTTCTAATGATGCCAATTAAGTGACGGTCGGGTTCTAAAAGTTCGTCCCAAAGATTAGGCGAATACATATGGTGCAAGGCTTGCATGTCATAACGTTTCGATTTTTTTAGCGAGGGTAGAAAGAAATCTCGACCTATAGGTCTCGGCCAGCCTATATTCCAGCTTTCTATTTGGGCTGGTAAAATAACTTGTAAATTCTGCTCGTCTGCAATTCGTAAAAACAATCCAGCGACTGTATCGCTGGCGCATTTGTGCGTTTTGACGAACCCGATGTGATAGTGCGGCTCTGAAGTGCATTTTTTGAAATCGGCAACTAGCGAGTAATTAATACGACTGTTTTCTAAATTTATAGCGTCTGTAAAACAAGGAATCTTTTTGAGCTCATTTTGAGAAAAAAATTCTCGCTCGTCATTATACACTGAATTCGAATCCAAAGTTAAGACTGTCAGGTAATTTATGAACAAATTGCTGATAACTACTGATAGAAATAGGAAAATAGCGACGGATAATGCGATAAATGCATTAAATTTGCTGTTGCTAGGCTTTACACCTTTGCGCGGGCTCATTAATCTAAGTGAAAAAAAATGTCTTTCAAATTTATTCAAGAGAATTTATTTCCAACAAAAATCAAGTTAAAATTTCAACTCAAACATTTTAAATTAATATTAATATGAAAAAAAAAAATTGTAACAGCAAGATATGAGAGTATTGTATCTGAAAATTGTGTATATGTATATCTAAAATTGCCTTCACAAACTACAAGCTGACACCTTTATATATTAGTAGGAGACCGAAGCTTCACCAAAGTATCAGTTCAGATATAAGCAAATTCTTTCTGAGATTTCGTTGCTTTTTACCACTAATTTGTGTCATTTTTGAAGAGAGTGACAGAATATTTATTCAAAGAATGGTATAATTCATTCAGTCCAACTCCGAACTTTTATCGCTTTTAGACTGAATTTTTAAACCAACTCAAAGATATCAATGTCGCGAGCTCAAACTCAATAATTGTTTCATGAAAATTGGTTGATTTTCATAAAGTTTAGGGGTTTCAAAACTGCCAAACCGTTTTGTGATAATTCAATTCCTGCTTTTGACCAGTTTTTTTTTTCAACGAGTAGCGTAAACGCCCAATTAAGCTGACTCAGAAAAAAAATATTATTTGGAGGCAAATCAACTCTTCCTAAGAACGAATGACTGAATGAGAAGCAAATCACTAGGTTTTTGACTTTTTCTCAAGTAAAGATATTTTTTTAAAACCTTAACTTTCAATTATTTAAATCTCAACTTTTTTTAAATTATCAGAATCAAACGCTGCTTGAATTTCTTAAAAGATTTTTTTCTCGTACCGAACAAACGCTTCTTATATGGAAACTTTATAGAAATAATCAAATCTAAATTTCTGTGTTTTCGTTATAGAAACTATTTATTTTTCATCTGAAATTAGAAATGACAATTTTTTAAGAAAATAACCCAAAATCAGTTTACTGTACATTGGCACCGATATAATTGAGTGTTTTAAATGTTTTCAGTAGACTAAGTCAAAACAAATTTAGTTTTCCTTATATTGTTACAAATATTTTAAATATATTTTTTCCCAATTCTATTTTCCCAATTCTATAAAACTCCCTTTACCCTGTTTCATGTGTTTAAGATAATTAACCCCAGACAAATTCAGACCACTTATACCACCGCTAATTTAACCTTCAAATAGTAGTAGTAGTTTGAATCGATCACTCGCTGGAGGGGGGAGGCTGGTGAGCTGGATACGGAAAAGAGCAGGAGCAATTATAAAATGTTCCTTTTTCTAGAATGTTCCCAAATCTCTAGTAGTATATTAGTATGCAAATAGTACACTTTGATGGGGGGGGGGGTTGTCTTACATGAATGACCATTAGTTATAGATCATAACTGTCGTCATGTCTTATATAACATCCACTAGTAGCCATGTAATATTCTTAATTGTCACCATGTATTGAGTTTCAATTTATAGTCCCCAAGTAATCTGCAATGGTTTCTCACCAAGTAATTTATCAATTTAACTAAAAAGTCAGATTGTAGGAAATTTACAATTGACACTGCAGTTTGGCTTAATTTGAGCTGAGCTATCTGCACTCTTCCAACCTTTCTTTTCTTGCTGACAGACGTTTTAGACACAAAAAAAGAATTAGTACGCAATAATCTATAAATTGAATTGTATTTGAAATTGAACCAAGTTAAGTAAAAATTATTTGATGAGAAAGCATATGCGTCAAGAAACGTTTCAAAACATCATCATTAACGTATACAAAACCCAAAGCATCACCTTTAAAATTTGTACTAAAAACCAAATGTGCAATATAAATACAGAAAGAACCACACATGGTAGACTTAGAGTTTTGCATTGGAACTCCTGTCATTAGTTCTATGACTTGATTCTCGTTTATCCCTTGGTAGATGTTGCTGTGTTTAAAGAAAGGGGGAGACCGAGAGAATCTGCGAAGTATAAAAAAACTTTATCGGGGTCATATCAGAGTCTTGTGTATTTTCTTTCTGTTTTTGTGTATGAAAATGTCAAAACTTGTACCTAACTTATGACTATAAAATTGAAGATACAACAAAATTTTTTGGGGCCTGAATAGAGGAAAACGCACGGCGCCTGACTCTTAGCCGAAAGGCGGCATTTTGCAATCCGTGCGGAAACGGTACTGAAAGGAGGCCCCAGTTGCTGGTATGGTGATATCCCCCTTAGATCGATTTTGAATTTTTACTTTGATAGTAGCCTAACTTCTCGGATTATTGCTATTCAGTTAACAATTGGGTAAAAATGACAATTGCTAAAAGAATGCAGTTTTCAAATTAAATTGAAAGAAGTATAAGAAAGCCATCTTAAATAGTTAGTTAATGGGAAAGCATGTGAGCAAGAAAATGTTTCAAAACATGATCATTAATGAAAACCAAAATCGAAGGCGTCACCATTAAAAATTTTATCATAATTCAAATGTGCAAGCAAATACAAACTGAACCGCACATGGTAGAGTTTGAGTCTTGCATGGGAAAAATTGTCTTCAATTTATTGACCTGATGAAAATTCTCGTTCAACCGTTTATATTGATTGGTGAATCGCCAAAGAGAAGGACCGAGAGGAACAGCAAAATATAAAACATATCTTCTGTTGCATATCACTATCCAATGTGTCACGGGGAATCTGATTTTGAAGTTTTTACAATGATAAAGATATTGCTTGGGATGTGAGATGGAAAACTGTCGGCTGCAAACAGTCCAAGAAACTTATATTTCAGATGTTTACACTTCTGAATGAGATCCTGCAACTGGATTTCATCCATTTTCAGACTTTCGAAACTGAAAAGACGTTCTTTGAAATTCTGCGTCGTTTTTGATAAAAACATTGGATGAAGGTATACCCGAAACAAAAATTTCGATGTTTGCTATCAAAGAGTTCGAGAATTGAGTATCGAGTGAAACCGAGCAGTTAGTAAGTTCTGGATGCAAGAAGTCGTGAGCTGTCTGCCATGTGCTAGTGAGATCAAAACACAAAGGGAAGTGGTGCTGGTAGATATCCAGAGTGATTACCAGCCCTCAGTGCAACAAACCAAGTGCTGATAGTGTTGAAGAAGAGACATTTATGATCTTGTGTACTAATTGGTGTACTTGCTTTTGGCAAACACTTCCGTCTTGAAGTAATCTTCTGCAGTCAAAACATTTGATAAAGAAAAACATTCGTTCGATTTGTTCCAAAAAATGCATTTTTTGCGTTCACTGTTAATCTAATGAGTTGTCTTACCGGTTCAGGAGCAAAAATATCTTCATGTTGCCAGCTGAACTGACCAGTTATTGGAAGAAGAATTTTGGTAAGTTTTTCTTGATATGATTAGTTCACAAGAATTTTGATCAAAGTTGATTCCATAGCAGAGAGCACATGGTCGGTCACAGTCATTTTTCTAACACAGGTTCGGTTCGAGTATTTGCAGCTTTTAATGCTTCGCAGCCATTCAGATATATTGAGAAAGTCTTCATGTGATCGTCTGTAGGAAAGTCTGAGGGTAACACTGTGCAACAAATGCGTGTCAAAGCTTAAAAATCAACTCCAGTGGGTCCATAGAACCAAATTTTCTTCGATTCGGGAACCAGTTCTCGCTGAGTTGTTAAACCAGCTGCGCCTATCGCAGCAGGATCGTTTTCAAAACGATAACACCAAAACTTGAGACACGAGTCCTTGGCTCCTTTGGAGTTAGAAAATTGTGTTCCATTAAATCTTTATGCGCAAAATTACTACTGGCATTTGAGATTTTGAGTCCATTAGCAGAGAGGTTAAAGTCAGAGAAAAGGTAATACAGAGAGTTGCTTACGGGGACGGTTAGTCAGACACATAAGGATCAGTGTTGTTGTATTCTAGATCAACTCCTTTTGCTTTGCTTGTGTTATTTTAAACCGTATTTTCAAATGGATTTTTTTCAGTTTAATAACTTTGTTACGGTCACCGGTGATTTCAATTTCAAGCATTGGTCCATTAGGTGAAAAGACCCGTCCAATTTTTTAATCGAAAATGTTTTCAAAAGTAATCAAAAGAGGTTGCTTTTCCAACAAATCCAGAGAGCTAGGGATAGCGTCATTGGACAAAAAGCTAGCAAGAATTTTTAGCTTTGAGAAAAAATCAGCTTGATTTCTGGCTGGTCTGCTTTATCTTCGAAAGGTTGTTTTATTTTTTCGAGCTCCTTTAGACTTCTTTATTCGTAATTCATTCATTGGGGTCTTTCGTTGACGTCGACAACAACCGAGTTGTTTTCTTGCAGTTTTTTGTTTGAGTGTTTTCAAGGCTTGCTCAGGAAACTCCTTTTTCATAGCAATATCAATCAGTTCAGGCTCTGCACTCATCAAAATTTCTTTGCCCATTTTTGCAGCGGGTAGAATCAGCCGTCATGCAAACGGTATAGAAACACGACCATTACCAGCAACCCAAGCGCCAAATCCACTGCCGCGTTGTCGGTAGTGTCCAGAGAAATGAGGAAAGGAAGCTTGCTTTGCATAATACTGTTTCATTGGTTTTTAATCAAAGCGCTAAATTTTCGACTCAACACAACTTTACCAGTTCCTGCAAAAGGCACTAGTCTTCCAGTTCCAGTGCGCAACTGTACGGATTTTGATTGTACAGATTAAATGAAGAATTTTTTGAAGTCTAAATTAGTAAAGTTTTTCGATGTTTGATTTCAATGCTGCATGCACTACTGTTTTTGATGCGTCTATTTGAATCAATGACACGTAGAGATAGAGCCTTCGCATCTCCGAGAGTTTGGTTTTGAATAATGTCAAAATAGCCAAATTTAGACTTGTCCCACTGAATAAGTCATATGGGAAACGCGATTCGTACAGTTCGTTTCCCTCATAAGATGCATCCAAAGAGGGTATCATTTTGTAACCAATGTGATATTCACCGTTCTCATCAACTTTTGCATTGTAGACTAGCAGACTGGAGATTTGGGACTTGGGAATGAGATTTCTTCATTTGCGTTGATCCAAATGCGCATGCTATCTCTGATTTCTTGAGGACTTGCATCAAAAAAAAAGTTCGTCTTTTAGTTTTGCTCTTATCTCATTGATCAATGGTTCTATAAAAGTGACTCTCCTGATTTGATGAAAACGTTTTCTCCATAAAAATGCTTGGAAATTGTATTCCGATTGCCAGCGTTGGATTTACTTGCTACTAGTTTGGATGCTCCGAATCACGTAAATTCTTGATCAGTAACATTGTTTAATTTCGTTGGGAAAATTATTTCGGAGAGATCAACTCTCCAATCTCGGTCTAAAGCTATTGCCAAAAGTGTTGTCTGGGAAAAAATCC